CCAGAAATTGAATATAGTCAACTATACGTCTTCTCCTTCCTTTTCGAGATCCATCGCCAACCTTGCTTTCCTTCTTCTGCACCACTGATTTTTATTACCAGCAATAATTATTAAATTTAATAGGGACAAACTTGTCCAACTATTTATTCTCTATGCTACTCACCTAAATTCTTTTATGGACATGTTAGTTTCCTAATTCCTTGTTGAATACATAATATTGAGCTAATTAACCCTTATTTGAATTCAAAACTGTCAATATTGCACGATAAAGACAAAAAAAGGAGGAATTCTCTAGGATACCACACTTTGAAGTTGTGTTCCAAAAAATACATCATTTTCAAATGTTCCACAAACACAAAATTGAACTTTAAGGCTTTATAATTTGATATTTTTGATTTGAGTTAACTATTGTAGAATTAAGATATAGTTTTTAGGGGTAGGATTTGGGTTTAGAGTTTAGTTTTGAATGTTAAAAGTTAATTTTAGTTTTGTAATATTTTTGGAATATTTACCAAATAGTGATATTTGTGCAACTTTAAAAAAATGGTGGTATTTTTGGTAACTAAACTTCAAAGTATAATAATTTTGAGAATTGCCAAAAAAAATTATTTGTTAAGAAGTCTTTGTGGACATAAATGTAGAGGGATTTCTATATTCTTGAATTCCAAAATATCCATCTCCCAATTACAAATACCCGAATTCTGATTTATGACTTCATGATATCCGAAATTCGGATAAATCCAAACATTAAAATATTAAAAATTCTTACAAATATAAAATTAATATTTTGCGTAATATATTAAAAATAAGATACCAATATATATTTTGTATAAGCATTGAATAAATGTTTATGTATTTTGTTTTTATAGAAAAGCATAGAATGTATATTAAAAATTTATTCTTTGTATACTTTTTTTTTGTCAACATATTCTTTGTATACTTTTAAAATTAATTTAATGAACATAGATTTAGATATCAAGACATTAAATCATGATATCCGGATCCAAACCCTCCAGATATTCTAATTTTTGGAGTGGATTCGAACTAATCTTAGATCAAATATCAGATTCCATATTTCTAGCAACCCCATTAGATGAGTTTCATAATTGAAACATCTTGTTACATCTTTCAATATTAATATCATTCCAAGTTTGGTTTTCTTTTTTCATTTCAAATATTGGTTGAGGTATAATAGAAGCTTTTTTTTTTTCTTTTGAACGAGAAGGATTAAGAGAACATATAATCAGTGCTACTTGTTTAAAATCTTTTTGACCTTCACAATTTCAAGTTGACTAGTGAACAAGAAAAAAGGAGCACGGGTAAAAAGATTAGAAAAGCAAATGTAACGCATCGAACGGTTTAATTGTTGGTCCTTCTCACGCATAGGCTGCATAGCTCCAAACACAAATGTTGTCTGGATCCGCAGTTATAAATTGGAACATTAATGTTGTCTGGATACGCAGCATTTATAGACTACATTTTTCACCACCATCGACAGCTCACAAGCCCTCACGACACATAACCCCAAGATACATTGCATATTTAAAACTTTTCAGGATTCTCTGAAACGATTGTGAACTGAACATAGGCTTGTTCGTGTGCAAGCCACTGCGGCTGCGGCTGCTACTTAGAAAAATACTCTGTGAAGAAGAAAAAAAAAAGCTAAAACAGTCCCAGAAAGTGGACGCCGGTGTTGTGTGCGTCGTCTTTATTGGTCGCTGCAAATTCCGGCGGTAGCTTACGTGTGCATTGCGATCATAATTGCAGTCGCACAGGCACAAGTCTTCCTCCGCACCATTGTAATTAATTTTTTTTTGCACAGTGAGAGTCGCAGCCTCTGGGAGAAGAACACACTAACTGCATTTGGAGAAAAAATTCAAAGCTAAAGTAAAAAAATCTTCGTCCGCATAATATTGTAAAACAGTAATAAAAGTGATTAAGAAACTACTCCTGACTTACCAAATTGCCAGGCCCGTTTCTATGCATGTGCAGGGAATGCTTATGCACAGGGCACAAAGTGGACTCGATTTTGGTTTAAGTTTTTTTTGCAAAAAGATTCCAAATCTGTATAAAACTTGTAAAAGGGTCCTAAATATAAGTAAGTTCTGTAAAACAAAACCCTATTTAAAAATATAACGTAATATATATAACTACTTGAGATATGGAATCTGATATTTGAGTTTAAAAATATAACATACGATATACTATAAATATGGCATAAGGCCATAAAGCCTGCAAATTAGAGTGACATAATGGAAAAAGACTTGAGAACAAAGATAAATCATTTTCTTTGAGTTCAAATTACTTTTGAAAACATTTTTATTTCACTTAGTTAGTCAAAATAATTTCACCTTTTAGATACATTTGAAAACCTAGTGAGTTGGCTATTCCACAATACCATTTAATTTGGAAAATTTGTCGGATCTTGGTCCAAATTTTTTTGGAAAGAAGCACAAAATATGATTAGAAAGAAACTAGAGTCGTGCGGGAATTGTTATAGGCATGTATGTAGTTCTTTTTTAAAAGGGCTTACGACAGTGGTAAGTCAAATGAGGTCGCCCACCTAACCCATTTAATCTCACAAAGAGGCTTCACAGGTGAGGGCCAATGTCTCATGTGCTCCTCTCTTTTGG